GGCCCCGATGATGCGCTGACCTGCGAAGTCGAAAGTGACTGTCCATGCAGGTGGCGTCGGCGTTGAGGAGCTTCCAGTCGTCTGGCCAGCAGGAGCTGTGAGTCCAAACGTGCATCCTCAGGCAGAGGAGGTTGAGGGGGGTTGTCACGAAAAAAGCTGTAGCCCACCCACTGCTCCTCTGTCGGAACCATAGGCCCTAGGCCTGGCGCCGTTGCGCCAGTCATCCTCCACCACCGATTTCTCACCATGCAGCCATACCACAGTGACCCGACCACTGCGGATTTGAGCTGCATCGAATTGCGTCTGCCGGTGCACGGGGTGGAAAGGTCTCTTCCTTGGTTTGACATGATGTCGAACCCACCAGCCATCGCGCAGCCGCCCCCACCGATCTCGCCCTTGAGGAGGAAGTCGGAACTGCGGCCATTCATGAGGCCCAGCCACCGTCCATGTGCCGGACTCAGCGCTGGGCCCAGCGCGCATGGCGGCAAGGCGCACACCATGTCCATGGCAGCGAGGTTCAAGCGCGGCCGCACGGGAGCCTTTTAGGCTAACCCCCCAGCCCAGCGGTGGGTTCATCTTCCCTCACCGATCTTGTGTTCTTTTCCCCTCCTACAGCGGTGGGTTCATTTTCCCTCACCGATCTTTTTTCGACCGAATCCCGTCCCCGTGGCGCCTCGGCCTGGGATTCCGCCGGAAGGTGTCCAATGATCTTTTTGAGGTCCTGTGCTTTCGAGGCCAGGTATGCTACAAGTGCTGTGATGGTTAAACAGCGTGCCAGCTTGTGTGCTTCATGGATTGGATTCCAAACAGCCATTCCTAATATACCAGCTACAACCGCCTGGAGCCTAGAACAAACTGACTGGTGTTCATCTTTCTGCCCAATCCCCGAAGACACACGTGCTCCTAAAAAGTGAAAAAACTTCTGCCATGAAGCCGGGTTCACAATGGGCTTCGTGAGCAAATCCGATGGCAGTTCAGTGCCAGGAACATGCAAGGTGCGCCAACACTGCTGCTGGATGCGCTCCTTGACCACATAGGCCCTCAGCCTCAAATGCCTCATGCGCCATGGTCCATCCGGCGCAACCAAAATCTTCAGCTCAGTTTGCGAATCACCGCAAAGGACCTGCTCTCCTTCGAGGTGGAGCTTGTGGTCCTCCAACACGTTCACGATGGCCACCGACTCGCCCATCACCACTCCATCAACATAGCCCATCAACTCCGATTCAGCGCTGGAGAGGGTGGCGAACGGTTGCTGCCGACTTTCCCATTGAACTGGGGCTCCATTGTAGGTGACCAGAAGACCTTGTTGACCTCTTCCACCTTGGGGACCGTGCGAAGCATCCGAAAAAACTCGAACACTGGGGAGCTTGGTTGCCTCGGACTCGATGGATGGAGTCTCAAACACCTGTTTGGTGTAACACAGCTCATAGTCCACGGTGGAGCGCAAATAGCCAAGCATGTGAGCCCCCCATTCCAAAACTTTTCCAGGAGCTTTCGTCACCAAGCGGCCCATGATGGAGACTCCATAGCTGAGGTCAGGTCTGGTTCTGCCGCTGAGCCAGAGCAATTCACCAACGAGAGCCTGGGCTTTGCGGACCTGTTCAATGGAGATGTTTTCCTCCAGTTCATCTTGTACGCCAAGGGGCAAAGGAGTTTGTCTCGACTTGATACCTTCGTGGCGCGCAAGGAGATCACGGGTGTAGGAGGCCTGGTTCAAAATGACCTCTCCTGGGCGGCACTTGGTCTCAAAGCCACAAAACTTGAGGGACTTCTCCGAAGATGCCCATTCCGGTTCCGAACAGCGCCAATGAGCCCTGATTCCATCAATCACTGCATGAGCGAGGGGACTTGGAGCAGCAACCAGCATGTCGTCAACGTACACTGCCAGAAAGCCTTCTGAGATGTCCTCCTCGGGGATGCCGGTGGGGCATGTTTTGATCAGCTTCCAAAGGTTGGGCTCTGGCGTAGTAACCAGTTGGTATTCTTGACCTTCAGCCTTGAAGCGCAGCTGAGGTAGTTCCCGGTCACGATAATGCGACCAGTTCGCAGGAGCATCGTTCAGCCCGTACACGGCATGAGAGATCTCCCAGAGTTCAGTTGGTGGGCAAATCCCAGCTTCAATGAGCACCTTAGGTGGGCGAGCAACTAGCAAACGTTCCTGTTCATCAGGACGTGGTGCAAGCAAAAATGCTGTTTTGATGTCAACCGTGCCGATGGACCAGGACCTTTCAGCTGCACAACGCATCAAGCAATGCAACGTAGTCCCATCCGCTCCACCTGCATATAGTGAATACGGAGCTTGGTCCTTCGACTTCATCTCACCTGCAGGAGTGTCATGGTCCTCGTTGACCTTGGTGAGATGGTTTCCGCAGATGACCACCCGTGCTCTGAGGCGTCCATGAGGACTCTTGACCGTGGGAACAAGCATAGCTGGAGCGAGTTCCATAGTTGGAAACCTTGGATCCAGGCGCAACTTTTCTTCGGTAGTTGGCTTGATTGCCTGGGTCGATGAGACCAGTTGGCCATATTCATCACGCAAGGGAGGCTTCCATTTTTCCAGTTCCTTGCGGACCTGCTGCAATGAGACCGTGTAGGTCTGGAGCACTGTGACCGGAACCTCAGTTGAACCAGCCATTGGAGCCAGAGAAGCGATCTTGTAGTTCTGGAGCGAGGAATGCTGAAACGACAATTGATCTTCAGCCCCTCGGAGCAGCATTTCAACTTCACGAAGCCAGCTGCCATGAACGCTCCCAGCGTCCTCACCAACTGCCACTTCTCGAAGGCCTTGACACCAGAGCTGCTTCAAAGCCCAGTGACGTTGTTGTTCAAGTTCATGCCACTGCTCTGCCTGTTGTCGTGAGCAGAACATGGGATCTTCCAGCTCCCCCGGAAGGTCAGGGTGTTGACATTGATCACTTTGATCATGACTATCGAGCATGGGACCTCCAACAACCTCCTCCGACCCCCCTTCATCCTCAAATTGAAGTGCCAAGGACCAGCCAACGTCGTCCAAAAAGGGCAAAGGATCCTCCCCCCCAGCTCGGCAGGCAGCAAGAGCTGGGTCAGACTTATCATACAAGGCCCCCACGGTTCCAGCCAGAGGATGGTCAGGTAGAGGTGGTGGATGTTTCCCCACAATACGGTGCTAGATTGAGGGCACCTCCTGCAAATCCATGGTCAGCCACCGGCGAAGGTTCCAAAGCCGTCCGCACGTGAAGCAGCTGCCCCTTTTTGTCGCGGGCAATCCAACCATGTGACATGTATGGGCATGGTCCCAAGAGCTGCATGGTGCTGTAGGGCATTGACAGTTGTCCAGCACGATGCCATCGTTTGGACTAGACCAAAACTGACGCTCCATAGCGAAGCATTGGTGGGCTTGGCAGGCCGAATCTTTCAAGTTAGGCGCGCACGGCCTTCTGCAGCATGTCGTAGGGCTGTTGCCTGCACATGCCAATCTGGAGGTTGGGTGTTTAAAAAACGCCCAGGGTTTTTATCAGGATCAAGAAAAGCCCCAGGATGTTTCTTGCTACCAACAAACGCCCAAGGGTGTTTCTGTGTTACGAGAAACGCCCGATGGTTTAAAGTGCACCACCTGTGCTCGACCGTCCGTCTATGAGCGCCCGCAAACACTAGAAATTAAACTGATGTATTTTGGTTAAGAAATTATGTTAAGTGTGTTGAACGCATGAAATCTTGTGATATATTGTTCTTTGGAATTGGGTTTGGACAGTTCTTTCTTGCGTCGACTAGCTCATATATATTGCGTTCATTTTTGTGTTGTTTTTCATTGCAATAGATGCATGGCACCACGTTAAGTTTTTTGTTGCCTTTCTCATGACTCATGTTAATTGACAACCAATGTTCATTAAACATTATTATTGCACCGTCTTTGATATCATGTCATGTAAACGGGTCATCGCACCTTTAATTCTTGATATCATGCCATGTAAACAGGGTCATCGCACCCTTAACTCTTGATATGATGCCATGTAAACAGGGTCGACTGTCCATGATAAACATGCCTGCATGCATGACACAAAGCGCCGCCTTATCCTCTAGGCTGCTCGAGCATAGCTGTCTGGAACTCATTCAGGTACTCTAGGCTTGAGGTCACGTGACATGCAGAATAACATAAAAGGTTTATGTTGCAGCAGGTGCATGCATGAAAAACCTTTGTGCAACTGACTTGACATCGATCTCAAAGATCTATAATGTCGCAGCCTGCTGGCAAACGTGTCCAATGCAGGCAGGGCAGCTGCATGCGTGCAAAAGACATCGGATTTGTGGATGTGTATTGTTCGTTGAGAAGCTCAATGTGTGCGGCCGCAGGCATTTGTTGAAATGGCTCCCAAAATAGTACAACCCAAACGCATGCCGCGAAGTGATGCGGCTTCTTCGAGCGCTCCGTCGGTCTGGGATCGCTTGGGCATCCCTAAGCCACCGGACCCGGTCATGCCTCCTGTTCAGCCTGTGGCTAGCTATCAGGACAGATTCTCTCATTGGATATCATTTTTTCCTGTAGTATAGTTGGATGCCTGGAGTGTGTTGGATAGAGGGAATTGAACATTTGAATCGTTATCTTTCCCAAGGAGTATGGCGCAAATCAGCATTGGGGAGATGCTGGATGGGGATGGCCATCAAGGGATGAGGACCGGGCTTTGCTGTTCATTTTTTTGCCATGCAGTTAGATTCCTTGCAGCACTGTTTCAGACTAGGTTGTTTAAAGTCGCCTTTTGCAGGCCATGCAGACTGCCGTTTGCTTACATCACCAATGGGAAGCTGCTCACTATGCGCAGTGAAAAGCACAGAACGCTGCAAAAGCTGCAAAGCGAGCGCTTGCCTCTGTCCAACAGCTACAGAAGGAAAGTTTCAGTTTTTGTATGTAGTTGATTTTTCTCTCAGTCACTGCATGCAGGAAAAGGTTACTTGAGTTCTTTTGGACATGGTGCCGTCTCCAGGACATAGTGACTTCGGGAAACACAGAGGCAGCGAATTTCTTGATGCAGCAGAAGATGTCCAGGCAGAACCTCTTTCATGGATGCTATGTGGCGCAGTCAATCACAAGGATCCCTGATGAAACAGAATTTGAAGAAACCTCAACAGTTCTTCCGAAGTCTGATCCTGCCGGCCTTTATGTTGCACCCATGGATGACTATGAGCACAGCTTGGAGCTACAGGGTGGCTTCGATGATATCGATGATGACTGTGAACCTACACAGGATGACAAGATGGCAGATGCGCAGCCAAATGATCAGAACGATCAATTGACACAGACTTATCGTGATGATGAACAGACTGTATTCCTGGACAATGGTGATTGTACACGTGATGATGAACAGACTGTTTTCCTGGACAATGAGGATTGTCATGATGACCAGACTGTTTTCCCGGACAATGATGATAACGAGACAGTGATTCCTGAGATGACTGTTTTTGAAGGATCACCGTCAGTGATGCAGGAGGAGCAGAGCGGTGTTCAGAATGAACATGTGTCTAATGATCGTTTTGGTGATGGCAGAAAGTCATCGGCGCGTGGTGCAAAGCGCGCGCGTCATGCAAAACGCACACAGCGGCCTGGCATTGATATGCCAATTGGCTCATGTACCAAGAAGGGTCGCTGGACCTAGCTGGTGTTCATGGCTATTCTTAGACCCGATGCAAAAGCTCAGCGAAAAGAAAAGGGACACTGACACTGCTTCAGTTTTGCAGGTCAAAAGAATTTGGTTTAGTTGCATGGAGAGACTAGTTGTGACTGTCATGCTTAGTTGTGCAACTGTGGAGGCTGCGCGCTTTGGTTCACCAGTGTGACCCCCATTTTGTTTGAGTCACGCCCAAATGAATTCAATATACAATGTCAGTTTGACATGCCGTTGCCTGTGTGCGCTTTTGATTTGCCTGTCTTAAGGCCAGAGCGTATGAATGTCGAAGAGACGGAATGTGCTGACACAAGGACTGCAAATAGAACGCGCGATCATGTACACTACACCATGAGTTTGTTTCCGTGCAACATATTTGTGTTTCTCTTTTTTTGTGCCCGTTAGTTTTTGCTTAAGTGCACAGTGGATGGGCTACGTGCATGCCATGGGCAGATCAAAAGGGATTGTTGAAGTTCACTTGGAACAAGAAGAAGTTTCAGAGTTAGCGGAGTGCCTCAGTGCTGGCATGCCGCCGGAAGTTAAGGGAGTTGTGAGCATCCAAGCTACAAAGTTGTTTGGATGTTTCTCCATCGACAGTGCCTTGTCACAAGAACACGTCCAAACAAATAATGACATGAACTCTACCATCACGTCAGTTTCTGAAAATAAGGGTTCACTCATGGTCATGAACATCTTATCCTAAACATGGTTATCGCGCCATATTGATTCTTATACAGGGCATTCATGAGCATGATATAGGATTTCTTCAGGACCCATGGCCATGTGCATGCATTTCCTAAACAGGGTCATCGCACCCTTAACCCTTAAAGTATAATACAATGATTTTTGATACCATTGTTTAATTTACTGTTCATGACTCATGACACTTACATACGCCAAGGCAAGACTTTGTCGAAGGAATCCACGATCAAGGACTATTGCTGGGCTCTTCTGCCACTTGCGAAGGTGGTGCCAGCACAACCAATTCACCAAAATACTCTGTTCGCGGTTCTCCAAAGGGTTCTACCAGATTCACCAGAAGGAGTAGTTTGGATGGTTGTGTATGATTTGCGAGTACTGTTGCAGTTTCTTGGCACTGGCATATCTCAAATTGTGTGGTTTCAAATGCTTTAGCGTTGAACATGTGTGGATTTGTGTGGATCTATGATCTATGTGGGTCCATATCGGTCACTTGAGGTTTGTGCGAAAAGTTTGGCGCAAGTCCCGCCCACAGAAAGGGGCAGATTGGCCACTTTGGATCAGAGAGCAGGAGATGGTCCACGAGCTTTTCCGTACAATGCAACCCTTTGAGGATGAATATGATGTTGGGAAAGCTTGGGGGATAGATGCAACTTGTAAGAATATGTGTTTCAATTGATTGCATGTGGCCAGTGTTTCAACCGTGATGCAAATTTCCTGCGTCCAAGGAAAACACCATTCCCGTTGCTAAGACTTCTGAGGACTGCTTCATGTAACTCAAATTGATCCAAGGTCACTGATACTTTTGAATTTATGAATTCCAGACATGGTTCAAGGAGACAGAAAAAACACCACATGAAGCGCGGGCACAAATCTTGCAAGACCTCCAAGGGCAAGTTGTGGAGATTTTAGATGATCCTCCAAGCATTTTGCCAGCACTGGTGTGGCGCGCGGTGCGCTATTCCTGTTTTGCAAAGGGTTGCGTTCACGATGATCCGAGGCAGTGCAGTGGGCGGTGATGGTATGCCTGATCAAGAGTTAGCTGCGCAGTCCTCAGCCCTGTTTTTTGTGCCTAGCAGATGATTGTGTAGTTATTTAGTCTTAGGTTGGCCCAAGCCCTCCGCTCACCGTGGCAAGCTCTGCCATCACCCCGGAACCGCCATTTGTTGAGGACTGTGCATGACACTAATGTGTTGTGACAAATTTTCACGTTTGTGACAAATTTTCACGTTCGCAAACATGCTGTCAAGTTGGACAAGCCAGGAGGTCGCTCACCACGTAAATGTGGCTGAGATGGAACCTGCAGACCCAGCACGAACTGGGCTCAGTTTGTTGATATATTATCGTATCAATATGATGACAAACTTGCGCGCGCTGCAGATTTTGCACCATACCATACCAATGGTCAAGGACAAAGAGCCTTGCAGAAGAGCCTTAAGCCCGCCATTGCCAAAGCAAAGGCAAAGGCTAAGGGAGTGAAAGCCAAAGCCAAGCCAAAGGCTGCTGCAGACGGATCCGGAGCACCGCCAGTAGATGATGGCTCTTCAACATACTCCATGAGGAAGCACAAGAGAAAGACTGCAGATGGACACACGAAAATTTTTGCCATTCACTGCATTGAGACTGGAAAGCAGATGGCCCAGCTTACTGAAGCTGCGTGTGAAGACGCTGAAAGCGTTGTGAGTAACCTAATTGTGCAACTCAATGACAAATCTTTGACCATTGCGGATGCAGTGGCCCGTTTGAATGAGATCAAGCAGTCGTGAAGATGGCATGCAAACCATCAGCAGTGTTCGCAGGGGGAAAACTCGCCCTTTCAATGCCTTAACACATGGCAACTACAAAAGGATTTCCAAATTGAAGAAGTGAGCACTGCATGAATGTGATTTGGCATTTGTTGAAGTAAACGCAATGCAGGACGAAAGATAGCTCAGCTATCATCGGCGCCAAGTGCAAATGCTTCAGGACTTTTGCTATTGTAAACTGTCACGGCCCTATTCTGAGCACAGAAGTCGAAACACGCAGGATTGTTTTCGTCATCATCGAGCTCATTCCATGGTAAGAGGTGCCCCCGATCACCTTTGCCCTGTCCATGTCAGTTGATGAAGTTTCAGAAATACACTACACAGTCACCCACGCAGTGCGCACAATTGTGGAGTAAACAAATGTGCCAAGCATGAGATCTTACGGCTCGAGATCTTAAGAACACGTGTGACCCACCCTTTAGTGCCATGTCAGCCATTTGCATCACAATTCTTTTCAGGATGCTGCACTCGCTGTCAGTGCAAGAGCTTAGGGACGTTTATGGACTGACTGCGCTACAGGTTCCATGGCCAGTTGTGGAGATCGTGATCCATGCTATGCTAATTCGGAAGCTGACACGCACGGATGAAACTATGTATGACCTATCCTGCATAGAATTCTTTGCTGGCAATTGTGCATCCAGTCAAATTGCAAAAGCTTTTTCTGAGCTTGGACTGAAGTCCTTTGCTTTTGATCTGAGCAGAGTCTTGTCTTGTTTTTGCTTTCAAGGGTTTAATGTTTAGTGAGACAAACCCTTTTGTTATGTTTCTGTTTCTTTAGCTAAGATGGTTCCCACCGGACATGAAGACATGCAAACATGTTTCAGATGCTGCAGGAAGCGCAACCCATGACCTAATAACAACGGTGCCTGGGCTCGTAACTGCGGTCATTGCAGCGCTTGCAATTCAAGCCGGTGGGCTGTGCCATTTAGCAACAGTGTGCACGTCGTTTGTGTTTATCAATTCCGGTACACATGGCCGATGCATGGCTATCCCAGAAGGATGGCGGGAATACTCTCCTGAGTATATGCAGATAGGCACATGCTTGGCAGCCAGGTCAGCAATTTTGGCACTCATTGCATGGTGCATGGGCGCCATCTGGGTACTTGAGCAACCGTCTTCCTCGTGCATGCTGTACCTCACCAGTTGGCAGGTGATAATACGATGGTTTTCCGAGAAGGTATCCCAGGGATGGTGCAATGCAACTGTTCTGCGCAATTCAGTCTTTATGGCTTCCTTCAGGGGACCCACACTGAAACCTACTTCGCTGTTTTCGAATGAGTCTTTGGAGATGCTCATGAATGTGCCTGTCCCACCCAAAGAACTCCGGCCTCCTGCAGCTCCAGTCGCCCATGTGTTTATTGGCAAGCGCATGGATGGTTTTGTTGATCTGATATTGTTTTCCTTTTTCATCTAAATCTAGATTCTGTTTCTGTTTCAAAGTACTTTGACGTGAAACTGTTTGGCCCTCATGGCCAAGTTGAGGTATCATGATCAAGATGGACGGAAGAGAGTGGTTGGTGGTGTTGGGTTGAAATCAACCCAATTTTACACACCGGAATTTGGACGTGCCATGGCAATGTGGTGGACGACCAATGCCCCTATCTCTTCCGGGACCTCTTGGGTTTTCTTCAGCAGTGCTTCTTTGAAGACAAACACACATTTGTTTTCAACAAATCAGTTGGAACATCTTTGGTTGTGCGCAGGAGAGAGCGGCGTAGATGGTGCATGCTTCAAAGTTCAGACATGACTATGCAAGCGATGAAGGAGCGAAAGTCAAACAAATCTAGAACAGCCGCAACAGAACAAATTTTGATGCATTGGCCTATCTTTGGACTGTTTCAACCACTTTGCAGGACCGCATTGTGGCATATAGCCAGGGCAATCACCCTTGGTTTGAAGATGGCGCCATTCCTGAGACCTTGGAGAACCTTAGGAAACCTTTTGCTGGGCCATAGACGGCTCAATAGTACGTGCTGTAAACACAGCACCTGCCACGGGTTGGAGGTTCATTGCATGATGTTCTGTTGCATGCGCGTGTTACTATAACTACCACAGGGCACACGCCCTTTTTGAAAATACCCAATACAAATTTAAAGGGACAACCCTGGCACGCTATGAACAATGTCCGACATATGGGCGTGACCAAGCCGTGACCGGGCCGTGACCAAAAGAAACGCCCAATACATATGTAGTAGGCGCGAGCCGTGACCGGGCCGTGACTTCCGTGACCTCCGTCATGCATGGTCTGGCAGATTTTGAAAATGCTCATTCGGAAAAAATATCTCAGTGTTGGGTTTTGTTCGAAAGGATTTCTGAGGCTCAAATCACAAGGATTGAACTGAAGTTAGACTTTTGAGGATGGCAGTGAAAACGGAACCTAACCAGATGTCTGGTGAGGTGTTTCAGCAGCCCCCCACAGATCCATATCTGGTTGGGATTGCTCGGTTTGTTGATGATGGCATGGCGCACACAGCACCAGGCTGGCTTTGCTTGACAATCTTTTCACAGTTGAGCTATATTGAATTATTTTCGAACTGCATTTTGGGCAGTTGTGTGTGTGAACTGTGGTAAATATTCAGCAAATTGCTGTTTAATGGCTTCATGTTTAGATTTGCGGGATGTCATTGGAGGTGAAGCTCTACCTCCTCCTCGTGAGCATCCAGCCCCAGAGGTGAGGATGGCCACTGCCGAGTCAGGGGCCTATGCAATTTGTGAATTTGCTAATTTTCGATATGAAGCTTAATGCTGAGAAGATAATCGATTGGGAAGACACTATTATCTTTAGATGCTTCACTGAGGGCTACTGTGAACTTGTCCCATCCGCTCCAGCCAATGCACACCGGGGAGACATTGGAGACTGCAGCGACGTTGGGTGACACTCAGGTGCCTTGGTGTTGCCGTGCTGGTTGATGCAAATGCTGTGGCATTGACCCTTAAACTAAAGAAAATCATGCATGTGTGTGATGACCCCTGTGCAGGTGATGGATGTCGAGACCCAAATTGAGTCATTGTTGCCACCACCGGCTCCACCGGCTCCAGAACAGAGGCTAAGAATCACATTGCCTGGTCCAAGTTTGCCGTTGGACTCACACCCTGACAATGTTCGCAGATACGTTGCTACTCATATGAAGTCACCAAAGATGGCGCCAATGTCAAGTGAGGTCGCAGGGCCTGCCACTGCAGCAGCAGCTGGAGTTCCACTAATTGCTCCAGAAAAAGCTGCAGCTCCTGCAAGGTTCCAAGGAGGCTTTGATCAGTTCGTCCCGCTTTCACCGGAAATGGAGGAACAGTTGAAACAGATGGGATGGTTGAACAAGCGGTTGAAGCCCCCTGCCACTCCACAGGCCGAGGGTGCAGGCGCTTTGCCTGCAATTGGTGACAAAGGCTTGACCGCCCAGACCGCCCGCACTGGACAACCAGCTGCTCAGACCACCCAGACCAATGGAGACCAACACGTCAACCCCCCTGCCATGGCCAGTGGAGCAAACAACGGTTTGCCTGAACAACCGGCTGAGACCAGTAAGCATGGTTTGAATGAACCAATGCCAAAGACCAATGGACCAGACCATGTTTCTACTATTGCAAAGGTCATTCCCGATGGCAAGAACAAACCTCTCCAGATCAATGCAGTCCCTTTGCAAGTTGCGGCCCCTGCTGCGGGTCACACTGATCAGCCAAAGGCCGACGTGGAACCTAAATTGGACCAGAGACAAACATACTCAAGACGGGCTGCTGCCAATTTGATCAGTAGGCTGCGAGAGAATCCTAAGAGGGTGGAAGGATTTCCAGAGTTGCGCAAGATGGTTTTCAGTGATGCCAAGAAGTCAGACCTGATCACAATGCTGTGTGAGAGCAATGGTGCCCTGGAAACGCTCGGGACATCGCTGCAAGCCTTTGAGGAATATAGCCATGGAGAGTCACATCGCAAGAAAGCTCTCCGCTGGACCAAAAAGGAGATGGAAGACCACTACGGCGCAGATGCTCAACGGGTCATGGACCACAAGATCCAGCAAGGTCTTGTGGAAGATGACGAAAATCTTCCAGGGGCTCAACTCTTCTTGGTTTCCAGAAAGGAAGATGAAGAGGAGTCACACAACAGGTCAGGTATCTTGTCAACGTTGACAACCTATAGGAAATACAACCCCAACATCAATTTGTGTTCATAACCATGTGAACAGCTCGTGAATCCCCATCACGCACTTGAGCATAAGAGCTCACAATACATAAATGTGAACCATGGGGCCACTGCGCCCTATACCATGTGCATGGCATTTTCAATTTCTAGAATTCATGAGCCATGGGACCATTGCCTCAAACATGACTCATGAACATGTAGTGATTAAACCATGTCATCATACCCTGTTGTTGAAAACATGTAATGGTTTACCATCTGATGCATGACTCATGACAACAATATTAATTAAACAGGGTCAGCGCACCCTATGTGTCAAAAACATGTTCTAAACAATCTTTTTTGGACGATGCATGACTCATTACCATAACACATGTAACATAAACATACCCTACGCCTATGCTCTAAAACATACTACTCCCCTTTGGGCACATGCGTGGCTTACGTTGCAGCCACAAATTTGTAGCTAAGGTACCCAGCTGACGACGAACAAGATGCGCGTGGATGACACAAACGCAGCTGCTGTGAGTGAAATCATGATGCTTAGGTTGCATTTAGTGTGCAGTTTCAGCTTTACACTTTGCACCAGATGTTTGCATGTGGCTGCGCTTGCGCTGTGTGATGTGAGTTTTTTGCATTTTTGCCTTTTGCTGTCTTGGTTTGGAACACATGAGGTCAGCCCCAGCTCGTGTACCAGTGAAGGGCAAGCGCCGGCAGTCAGAGACCAATGGCTCCGGCTCCGGCTCCGGCTCAGCTCCGCAGACTCCGTCTGAAAGATCTGTGTTGTCGTCTCCTGTCACACCTGTTCCGCAAGAGCCAGAGCAACAGCCCAAAAGACGTCGAGTCCCAAAGGCAGAGGAACCTGTCACTCCGTTGGCGAAAGGACGGGAGATGGCTACTAAGTTGCTCAAGAAGAAGTCAGATGCGGCAAACTTGGCACTGACCTTGCAATCCGTGTCTTATGCAGAGCAGCTGTGCTCCGAGATGAACAGCTTTGCCAAACGCTTTGAGTGGTCCAGATGCATTTTACGTTCCACGTGTTTTTGTGTGGAAAACATAGGAGTGCAGATTGCATACTTATCAAGAATCAAGAAATCTACCTATCCTGAGGCAGTTGTACTTGAAAGTGCAAGAGCTTGTTGCCCAGCAGAAGAATGAGGACATGACTTCAACCGACCGCCTATCATCACTAATGGTTGTTGTGACTTCTTTCAGGATGTGATGTCGTTGAAAAATGTTGGTTGGTTGTGAATGTTTCAAAAGTTGGATGACAGTGTTCCCCTTGCTGACAGGAAACGGACTACATTCCGTTGGTGCGAGACATGATTTCTTTGCAGCGAGAGTTTGAGAAGCCGCATGCTGCGGCCGGGGCGATTGTGCGCCAGGTTAACAAGCCTGCCTCGAAATCTAAGGCCAAGGCAAAAGCCAAGGTCAAAGCTTGAAGCTTTTCCAAAAGTGTTTAAAGTTTTGGGGTGAACTCGAGCAAAGATCGGGGAACACCTGTGGTGGCAGAATTGGTGTGGCTTCTTTGTTTGTGTAAAAAAACTCAAATTTGTGTTTTGTTCCTCCACGGGATTTTGGCTGCTGGAAGTCGGCCATGTGCCACGGTTGCAGGTGACATGACATGTCTTTAGACCTGGGAGCGTGCGAGCAAAGGCAAACATCTTAAGTTGTGTGATGAACATGTGGTCAACAATTAGCAGCAAGAAGTATTGAAGTGCTGATGATCGTTTTATCTCAGCTACAAAAAGGCATTTGTTCCAGTGGTGGAACCACGCAGGTCAAATGCTCCTGAGAAAGATCCCAGCGAGCCCAGCCACAAATACCGCAGAAAAATGTTCCTTGTTGGCTATGGAATAACAGATGTGATGTTGTTTCCGTTGGATCACGTTGGAAATCCCAGACCTCATGGAGACAAACGGTGTGAAATCGATTCACTGAGGGATGTTCGCGAACTGGACAGCCACGGGGCCCGCAAACTTACTGAACAAATTGCAGCTGGGAAAATCTCAGTCACTGCTGCTGCTGAATGCAGTGATGCCTTTTTGAACGACGGTGCCAACAAGGCTACAACATATTTGCTATCCTGTGTGTCTTGAACTTGAGGTCCATGGGGTGTATCCCACCTGTATCACCTTAATAATTTTTATATACGACATGCTAACCAATTTCCCTGCAGGTAAGTTTGCAACAGTTGCGGAAGGCTACACAGCGAGACTTTTTCAGATGGGTGAGACTGCCCACCACAATTTCTTCCTTACAGATGCCTTTGCTATTGGATGCTAGGCGATCTGAGCAGCTTGACAATGCATGTGAGCGCATGGAGTCAGTTTCCTTTGTGCTGCCCAGTGATCTGTTGCGCGCGCTACATGAAGCTGGCCCTGAGGCACTTTTGGCATGACGTTTGATGGTCAATGCGTGTTTTCCAAAGATATGCTTTGATGATGTCAAAGTCAATATTCTATAAATGATGGGGTTTCTAAATGTCCACAGTGGAATTCCCAATAATGCTGCATATGTTGAAGGTGGAACAGTCGTGACACTTTGAAATGACAAATTGAAAGAACAGCTGGCAGTTTGCACAGGCAATGGCAGAATCTTTGGGCTCTCCAGATGATTGGGCGGAGCTGTGGCGTGCTAGTGGCCGTGGTGAGATGGCTACTACACATATCCCTATCATCGTGCATGAAGATGCTGTTCCACATTTCTCTGGTGCTCTGGGCTATGTTTGTAGCACACGCGCACGCACACAAAGACACACTGTTTTCCTACTTTCCTTTCTTGCGTGTGTCCCAACATTGTCTTTCGAGGATCTACTGCAACAATATGGAGTTGGTCAACTGGCTGTGTCCGGGGTGACTCATGGAAGACCCGCCAATGCATAGCTGTGTTGGCAACGCCCCAGGTGACTGCAAACACACGAGCTGCTATTTGCAAGCTTTTGGCGTGGGACTTGAAGCAACTGATGAATGGTGTGTGGGATGTTGTGGACCGCTTTGGACATTTCCACCCCACAGATTCCAAACTGGAAAAGAAAGCTGGGCATGACATGCCTTTGAGAGCAGTATCTAGTCCATCAGAGTTTGACAATAAAACGTGTATTGAACAGCGTCATGTTTATGTGTGCAGGTGTGTTTGCACAACATTTGTTCATTGCTATTGGACATGAAGTTGCCGTTCCGAGGCATTTTGCTATTGGAAAGGTGACATGGAGGCTCAATATTTTGCTCATTGTTTGACGCGATATTACAGATGCAATCAGTGCTGCGACTTTTGCTGGGGATCCACCGCTGCGAACAATGATGTTTTGAGCATTGGCCATTTGACACTGAAAGCACCATGGAGGTCTACGATTTCAACGCGGACCAACGCTGATCCATCACATTGGTCAGTAGTACCTGGGTTTGCGAAAGACCGCAGATTGTTCGATCTTCTGCACGTGGTGCATCTGGGGACGCTCCGGGACATCGTGCCATCATGTCTCATTGATGCATTGGATGATCAGACACTGCCTTCATTTTATGGAATGCATGGCTGCTCCGATGATATGATTCTGTACCGTATGAGCCGACATGCTCATGCGTGGGCCAAGCAGCACAACTTGGATTTGTATATAGGAACATTGAATATGCACAGATTGGGCCGCAAACTGAGTCAGAGCCGTGTCTGGCCATACCCGGAGCTGGACAGCCGCATCAAAGCGGCGCGTTGTCGAACACTGCTGGCATTCGTTACTTGGTTGATGTGCAGATTGGCTTCTTACCCTCTATCTCCGGAGCAGAAGTTGAACGCACGTGTGCGGGCCACCTGTTGCTGGGCACTAGATGTCGCCCTCAGTGTCTTCAATCAGACCAAATGTGTGAAGACGCCAGAACATGTGGTCAAACAAACGACATGGTTGCTGCGGTTGCACTCAGCCTGCTACCAGTTTCTGAGTGCACGTTGCCTTTGTCAACGACGTTTGTTGTATAAAGTACGTCCGAAGACGCACTACTTTTCGCACATGGTAGATTTTCATGCTTCGACATGCCTGTGTTTACTTCACCTGTCCACGTTCAATGACGAGGACTTCATGGGTAAGATTAGAAAAATCGCCCAGGCGTGCCATGGAAAGACTTTCGTGCACGCTTGGGCGAAACGATACGCCTTGAAGAGGGGGCTGCAATGGTCCGAAGGAAAAAATGTTCACTGCCATCGTTTGCGTGTATGTGTGTTGAAGCCGGTCTTTAGCTTCATTTTGTTGAACAACAATTGTTTTCTTTTTTTTGACCGTTGTCATTTTTAAGGCTAATGTTTTTGGACATCAGACTGTAAAGCCGTGATGTGGACGTGGAATGTTAATCTGTTGATGCTGTGTGCACATATGCGTGCCATTAGGGATCCATTATACAACGCAGTCATGATCATGCGTTTCACACCTAGGGGGAAACAAATTCGAGTTTAAAACATGAATGGTACAACACCAAATTAATTTAGCTCACTTGGTGATGATAAAGGATTTTGGCGATTGTTGACCACCGAAATAACAATATTATTTTGTCGAAAAACATTGTATTTATATATGCACGTATGCATGCATGGCTGTGTGCAGACGCACGTCATTGCATGTTTTATATATGCACGTCCAAATATATGTCCATGGGTTCTATGGTTTGTTAACCTTTTTCCCAAGAGCGTTGCGTAGGGTTCTTAATGTAGAAAATTTGCCTTGCGGATCTACATCAATACATTTGGGGCTTTTTATAGCTGCATTTGTATGTACGCTACAAGTACATCTGCAGCTTGCGCGCGTGGTCTTCTAGAGCTGCTGCTACGGAGGTGATAGTTGTTGGCGGCAGAAACGCCCAGGGGTGTTCTTTTCACAGCACAAACGCCCATGGATTTTCTTTCTTTGCGAGAAACGCCCATGGATTTTAATTTAGGCCACGGGTGTAAATAAAAACGCCCAAGTACCAAGTTGGCATGTGCAGGTGGCCAGAGGGATTGAGGTAGTCCAGAATCATGTAGAAGGAGTCGAGTCCGACGTTTGATCTGGTTCACTTCTCCCTCGATGCGGCCGTTGGCCTTTGAGTCATCGCCTGCAGTCAGGGTCAATCGAAGTTGACGTTGTTCACACCATTTTTGAATTGGGACTGAGGCAAAAGATCGTTCTCGATCTGTGTGGAGGCGGTACACTTGGATGCCCAGCATGCGGTACTTTGCATGTAGTCGTGAAAGGGCACGGACCAAAGACTCCACAGTTCTATCTGGGATCACCTCAGCGAACGTGATGTTTTGGTGTCCAGGAGCTTCTTGGGCCTCTTCAATCTGGGCCAACTCATTGAGTCTCTGAACTTCATCATCAGGGAGCATTTCACGCTCCTCGGGATCACAGGGCAGGTCCTCGGTGTGCTTGACGTCGTCTGCAGTGTCATAGGGCTCGGCAATCTCGCCTGGAAGCTCTGAGATGATGGGCACAGCCACCGTGGAGATCAGTGCATACTTACAGGTCACTCCAGTGCCAAGGTCACGACCAGCAGGGAAGGGTCCACATAGGTCCGCTGACATAGTGAACTTCGTTGCACTCCCCCCAAGTCTTTTGTGCGGTTTATCACAGCCCATCGCTTCACCGCAGATTCGGCAGTCAGCACGAAAGGCCCCTGTTTGATGTGTCGGTGCCAGGCTGCAAGGTCCATTTTGGACATGTTGTGAGTGTCACCATTTCGACTTTCCTCCTCCAAAACGCCGAGCAACCTCCGCAGCGATTACTTGATAGCAACCACAAGCCCCGGCGCCCAAGCGGCCCAAGACTTTGAAGTGCGAATGCGATCTGCCAGCTTGGTGGGTAGTGGACTATCATCACAACCTTCACCCTGGAGACCATGTAGTTCTTCGAAGGCAGGGAGGTTGGTCAAGACTGTGGTGGGCTTCTTCCGTTGATGGCCCAAGCGTCCTTGGTCGAAGGTGACCAGGCGAAGTCCTGCAGTTCCAACCCAAGCCGTGATTTCAGGGAAGCACCAAAAAGAGGCGCTTCGAGCTCCTTCTTCATCGCTCAAGTATTCAGCTGGGTCACGTGGAGATTCCAGCAATATTCCAACATCCGTGGGAACACGACGGCATTCTTGAGCACGTAGCCAAAGACCAAGATGCTTCATGCAAAGTGCAGTGTCGCCGTGGGCCAAGCGCTGCTCATCATCGTCCAAATCAGGAAGGCACCAACGATCTTCTCCTCGGCCACGTAGTCGACGAGGGCCAGGAACCTTATTTCGAAGGCGGCTTACAGTTCTGCATGGAGGACCTCCAATGACAGCAACAATGCGGCCAAGTGATGCCAGCTTCCACAAGTAACTCCAAACTGACGGGTTGTGGAGGTTCAGGGCCGCATTGATCTCAGTGTCAACCATGAGTAGCGGCCTCCACCAACATCATTCCATTTCTTGGCATCAGCTCCACTGAAAAGGTGAACAATGACACCCTTTCCAGTCATGTGGGCCCGTCGCAACCTTCGATTCCAGGGCGGAGCTGTGGGTTCTTGACTTTGACCAGCCATGTGCTGGAGAACTTGAAGTGGTAGTTCAGGAAAACGCTTGCCACCAACTTCGATCTTCATCAGAGAGAGCCACCTGCCCCTGATCCTCCATCTCAAACTGCGCCAACATGTCCAGCGCAGGCTGCCGATGCATAATGGGACATCCATTCCTCAGCCAACAGGCGATTGGGCCAAGCGTTGGGTGGTGGATGCTGCATCCCGAACGTCGCCATTCCACCTTGAAGCCGCGCTCAACCAAGAGGCCCAGAGGAATGATCGGCTCAACCTCCGTCAGGGACAGCAAGGTGCGATGCTTGGGGTGGCGATACAAAACTGTTGAGCCTTGTGCCAGCTCCACTTCAACCGGAAAAAGTTCAGCTCGTTCTTCGGGTCGAGCAACACGTAGGGCATGAGTGGCCCCACCATCCAAAAGGGCAAACCCCTGAGTTCCAAACTCCTGAGGGTGAGCACTGATCTGCTTGAGGCGCATCGTCTTCACGGACCGAAGCGTCTTGAGCAGCGTTGCAGCTTCCTGGATGAGGTCTGTGGCGATGTCATTCTTGGGCTTCTCCTCCAGCGTTGACTTGGCCGGAGAACCATGTCCCGAATCCTTCAATCCCCCTCCAGACACCGTCGTCGGCGACAAGGGCGATGGGCTCGAAGTTGATGTAGACCCTGGACTTCCCACTTCCACCTCCTTTTCTTTGGTTGGGCCTTCTTTTGAGCCCTCGGGTGCAACTCCTCGCAAGCGAGCTGCCTTTCTTACATCCTTGAGTTC